AGTAAAATTATCTTCAAAATGGGCACTTTTCTTTTTTTTTTGCAATAACTTTTTTGTTTATTAACCGATTTTAATTTAACCAGTCTCATTTTGTAGATAATTTTACTCCCTATAAGCTGTCTGTGAGTCACTTTTCGCTAAAATTGATGGTTTTCCCTGCAAAGTGAAAAAACTGTTTTCCTCATTTATTTGTTTAAATAGAAAAGTTAGCTAATAAAAGTTTTTGACTCACGAGACGAGAGATGTCTTGTATTATGTTCCTTTAGACAATTTTACAATAATCTTGCGGATATGATTTTTTTCGAGTTTCTCTTTTATTTTCGCTAATTTTCCTGGTGTATAATACTTATGTAATTCAAAGGGAATTCGGCCAAAATTTTGGAGAAGGAAATTAATACCGTTGAATACACTGGGATTATTTTGCTGAACAGTGAAAAATGTGTTTCAAATTATTATGTGAATTTGAATTCTTGTTAACTACAGATTCAAAAGATGAAGTAAGTAATAATAGAATAAACATCATAGCTCGGGAAACAGGCAAAAACAAACAAATTTAAACTTAAATATAAGTTCAGAAGATGAAAAAGATAGATTTTCCAAAGTCTACAAATTTTTCAGACGATATAGTGACGTACATTTTGTATTTGTCTGTTCTTTAGCGAGATTTATAACGTAAAATTTTTGTAAGGCAAAACCTCGGGCAAAACTATTTTCAAAAAAATAACTCCTGACTTACCCATGCTTTTGGCAGGATTTATTTAATAATTTTTTTCACAGATGGCAAAATACCCAATAAAGACAAAAAGGAAAACTATGCCACAAATTCTCCAAATTTTATTTATTATGTATTTCTGCCCTATAAAAGGAAATCTTTTCTGTTGGGTTGTTCTAAAATAAAATAAATAAGCTTGTCTTCTCGTCTATACCGATATTACTAGCTTTAAGGATTGTCCGAGTGGTTGTTACTGACCAATATGAGGCGTGGTTTTGGACGATGAAAAAATAATGTTTTTTGTTGTTTTGTTTACCTAAATGAAGGGACGGAACTTCAAGTATACAGGGCGATTCAGAACTTATTAAAAAAAATTCTGGATATACAGGGGATCCATACAAATACAATTTTGTAAAGAAAAAATCAAAAAGGGCAGTTCGAAATTGATTTAAAAATACACCTCTGCATGGCACTGGAAACTGGTCCACTGTAAAACCTGACCTCGCACAATGCGACCGGCATGGCGGTGTGATAAAAACGGACAAAAACTTTCGCAAGGAAAGAAATAAATATAATTTTATAGCACCTATTTTATATCGGCAAATTCAAATGCTTTTGCCTTTATTAATTAATAAAATTAATTTGTGTTTTTAAATAATAAAATCATTTGACATACCCGATGTTACAACAACAATGGTTCAAAATTTTATCCCACTAACGTGTAAACACATTTGGATCCGTCTTACTCGCTTTCTCCAAACTAACATAAATAATGTCTTGCTTCATCATAACACAAATGCTTCACCATAATACAAATGTTGTCTTGCTTCACCATAAATTAAAACGATATCCATCAACTCTGGGTTGCTATACCCGCAAGCCATTTTTGACACTAACTACTAAAAAACTGTTGTAAACACCACAGATAACAGGTAAAAACTACCGCAACGACGAATTTTTTAGGAGTCACATGGCTCTCTACGCGTATTGCGAATGACGCTATAGACTACAGTTGTCCAGCTATGTAGTGGTTGAATGTACTATAACTTCAATAATTTTTTTCTCGGAAACTATAAGGATTTTACAAAAATTTTTTTACGTTATTAACTCCATTTCTCATGCTGCATTTATTCCCAAATTTTTTTGGATAAGTTGTGAATCACCCTGTATATTGTTTCAATCAGTTTTCCACATATTTGAACATACAGGTTTTCTAAACTTGACTTTAAAGCAATTACGTACCTAGTTATATGGAGACTGTAGTGGCAACATACTACTTAGGTCTCGAGATCTGCGTCAAGAGGCAAGAGGTCCAGAGAATATGGGTCAGGAGAGCGCAAGACATGCGAATGGCAGTAGATAAGGAAATGATATAAATAAAAAAAATAATCAAAATACTTAATTGGTTAAATACATATTACATAATTAGAGCAACATACTCTTGAATTGTAACGTTATAAAAATAAAAACTTTTGGAGGATACCCATATTAAATTAAAAACAAATACATATAATAGAAGAGATAGTAAGGCCCCGACTAGAAAACACAATAAATTAAAAAAAGGATTCCAGACATTTAAAAAGAAAAAGAAGTTCAAGAAACAAAAACTAGAAGAAAAAGAAATGAAACTAAATCTTCAGAAACGGTATCAAAATATTCCCATTTTTAAGAATGTAAGAAAGAAGAATTCAAGCAGTAAGAAGAGTCAAGAAATAAGAATCGAAACCTTTAAAACTTGGGATATATGTATTGATCGAGGTATTGATTCTTGTGGTAAAGTTGCTACACATGATATAAACCTCCTCTCGAGTCTTCTCTCAATAACGAAAACAAATTAAAATTTTAACTATTTTTAAATTATGTACTTTAAAATGATTGACACAAATGAAATGATTAATGAAACTGTCAATGTTGACAACCAAATCTTTACAATCAAATTACCACCGTTATTGTAGCGTTAATAAAATATGTAAATACTTTTGGAAGATACCCATATTCAATTAAAAACAAATATACTTATAGGCTCGCTTATAGGTATAATAGAAGATATAGTAAGAGCCCCACAACCACTTGCTGTAGGACAATTTCAACTTTTGATACTAGCAATTAATAAATTCAGTAGATGTATATCAAGATATAATGAAAGTGTTTCAGTCAACTGATATGATCTATTTATACAGGGTGATTCACAAATGGTGACCAAATATGAAACTTCGTATTCTTAAGTGGATATTAAGGGGAGACTTTCCTATAAAGTTTTTATCTAACACGCTTCATTAAAAAGATACAGGGTGTTAAACTTCAAAAAATATTTTTAATATTTTTAAATACCTAATTTAAAAACTAGTAAGTGAAATAATTTGAAAATGGGCACCTTGAGGGCTTCTCCTAAAGTTTACATGCTCTAGTGGAGGAGAAATGCGGTATCGGTGACACACTTATTCTTCTAAATAAAATCGTACGCCACTGCTTTACAGTAACAATAATGATATTTTCGGATTCGTCTTTCAATTTTCTACAAATTACTACTCTCTTATGTTTTTCGAAAAAATCCTGATTTTCGAGTAAGGCTTAAAAAACGAACTGAGAATACTGGACCTCAACCCACTGAATTTCTTTTTGAAGAGTGCTGTTAAACGGCTAGTAAGTATACAGTGAAGAAATTAATACACTTGAGCAGTTAGAAGAAATAATAAATAATGCTTTTCATCAACAATAAATTTCGAACAAATTACATTTCTGTTACTAAAAAGATGTCGCGCCTGTGTTCGTGCAAATGGAGGAATTTTTGAGCATTTACGGAAATAAAATCATTAAAATGATGACTAATGTTATTAATTTCCTTATTGGAATAAATAACCGAATGATTAGTGCTTGTATTTAGAAAAATATGCCACCGATACCCTGTACCTCCGCCACTGAAGCATGTAAATTTTAGGAAAAGCCCTCAGATTTTGGACAATGTTTACATAAATATATGTGCCCAATTTCAAATTATTTCACTTAGTAGTTTTTAAATTACATATTTCAAAAAAATTAAAAATATATTTTTAAGTTTAACACCTTGTATTTTTTTAACGAACATAAAAAGATAAAACTTATAGGAAAGACTCCCCTTAAAATTCACCAAAAAATACGAGATTTCATTTTTAGTCACCATTTGTGAATCTCCCTGTATATTTTACAAAATAAAACAATATTGGGCATTGTGTTACCTAATACATTTACCACTAATTTGGCAAATAAATTAAGTGCTTTAACCCCATTTTTCCTGAAGTAGTGCTATTTATTTCATTATTTATATAAAATTCGATGGTGGAATACTCGGAAGAATATAAGAATACCAGTCGGTGTGGGACACAATGGAAAGGCAGACAAGGTGCCTGCATGAATCTCTACATAGTAAGGGGTCAACGATCCATCTATCCTTGGAGCAATTTCGAGGGGTAGCAGACCAAAACAGCCGAGCATCTGGTTTTGTTCCATCGGCACAGGTGAAATGCCGGGTAACAGGTTCGACAGAATTCAATTTCGCCCCCTTTAATTCGAGCAGACGAGCTCCGGTTTTTTAATTTTATACCCCCAAATTAATTTCGTTGCCAATCTGTGTTGAATTTAATCGTTGGCAGGGGAAGGTCGTGAGGTCTACGCATAGGACATTTGAAAAACAAGAGTACTGTACTACTATACATCACCCACTCGGAGCTACCTACATGTGGCATTTACTTGATTGTTTACATAATGAATAAAGGTATTATATCATAGGACCAAATAATCTCGATTTTTTCTAGTAGCGTTGGGTTATTTTTGCAGGTTGGAGTCATTGATTAATTATTTTGTACACCACGCCTACTTTTGCGGTTTTAACGCTGTTATTTTATTGTCTGGATATGAAAGCAAAAACAAACGGGAACAATTGTAAGCATTGATTTGCGATTTCCTTTCTGGATTAATAGTATAAACATGGAGTTAACGACAAAATATATATATGTTTTACTTATAAATACACATAGGAAATGGTTTTTAAGAATTTTACATTCTTCAGAAAAGATCAACTTCACAAATCGTTTAAAAATTAAATGTAGGTACACCTATGCGTATTTATTTACAAAAATGATCAATCAATCAAGTCTCTTTTGAGCTAAATCTAAATATTAAACAGCAATAGCGTAATAAAAATATACATTTCTTAACAAATATTTAAATTTGTCTTTATGGGGCAATAAACTCTGAATAGTTGTAGACAATTTAATTTAAATGTGCTCACCTTTTACATCTCCAGTGAGAAGGATAATCCTCTGTTACACCACGAATTTCGAGCACATGTTAATTGACGATAAATAAAAATTCAACTGCAACTGGGGGTGGCTCAAACAAATGCACAATTCATTCACAAAATCCAAAGCAGTATTGGGGTATTCACTCTCACTGAATCCGGCCGACTTATCACATAAATATCGAGTCACAAGGAACTAAACTTGTCTTTTTGGGTAAATCGAAGGCGCGCGCTAGTTATTTCACCCAATTTTATTCAATTTCAAGCATGGAAGACAAAGAATTTACAAGACAGCTACACAGCTTATATCGGCCACTGCTGACAAAAACAAATGTTATGTTCAAGGAACGCCAGTGCCGCCAGTAAACGGATCACCCTGTGGGCTAGACGAGGACAACAAACCGACCATGCGTATTGTGATCTTAGGAATCACCATAGAATTTTAAGTAACAGCACTACCTATTGGCGATATGCTCTAACTAATTACAGTGAGCGATATGAAATAAAAAGATCTCTAATTTAATTTTAACAATTCCGGTACTGTCTCTTATCCTTATTACTAGATGTCAGTATTTAATTCTAGTCTCAAACCTATTTGAACTTTAACTTTGAAGGTTGTCATAGAAGAAAACAAGGTTATGTTTATTTTTTATTTACCAAATATTTATTGAATAAAATTTTTAAGAATGTTGACGGTAATTAGACGAATTTGTACCAAGAAATTTATACGAAGGCTGCCTGCAGATTGTTCTAAAATAAGCAGTTTCTCAACACTATGCTCTAATATTTTTCAAGCAGAAACTCTTTGCTATCGTGGGTGCCAGAAAAACCTAGAATTCTATAGGTACAAAAGTAAAGATAAAAAATCCAAGAGACAAGATACTGAAAGTGAAACCGAAGAATCAGAAAAAGATTTTATGGATGATATTCAAGACAAGAATACAAAGACTATAAAAGTAAACGTAACTTCAATGCGACTGGACGTAATACTAAAATCGGGATTGGGTTTGTCGCGGAATAAGCTGGAGACTATATTTTATGAGAGTAAAGTTAGACTGAATGGGGAAAAGGTATTAAAGAAGAGTGTACATGTGCAAAACGGAGATGAAATAGACATTATTAAAGGAAACAATGTTAATAACAAGGATTTTTTGATGGTAGCTAGGGTGGAGATATTGTCGGCCATTGGAAAAGAAGAAAGCATAAGTGTGAAATTAAGACGGTGCAAGTCCCTTACTGTTGAAAATTATGAAGGGAAAAATCGTTGGGAAGATTAAGAAGCATTTGCTCAATTTAAAGTTATGTAAGCGAAAAAGAACATTAAAATCAATTATTCTAGATACCAAAGGTTTAACGAATTTTTAATAAACGCAATGTTACTTTTCATCATATGGTTATTTTTTTGTGTCAATATTTCCATGGAGTAGTATGAATTCATTCAGATTTGATTGTTTATGTCAGTGGTTCTTAAAGGCTAGAAGCGGGTGAGTCAACTAATGCGATAGTGATGATACTCCAAAGTTTCCACTCGGTCAGTATCCCACTAACTTGTTGACACTGAAGCCAGGAATCACCATGACATTCACACTCGCACCTAGTTGACTAGCAACTATAATGACAGCTAGTTTACTAGCTAACGAGCCCACATGCCTGCGAGTAGTGCGAGTAGAGAGTAAAGTAGTAGATAGCTAGTGAATATGGTTATACTGGTCGAGTTTCCTAGCAAGTAATGAATTCGCCGACTAATAGCGAGCCTTATCTTTTTTTTAATCGTGGACCTCTACAAGAAAACAATTTGCAAAATAAATCGTAATAATAAATAAACTTTTACATTGTACAAGAAGAATATGAAATAATGCATATTCATTTTTAATATCAAAAGTATTATAAACAGGTGTATAATTTGAAACGTCTTGACAAAATAGTGATAAACCACATTCGTGATAGAAAATTTCCATTCAATTTTGAAATTTTTTAAATGAGGCATAAATACATGAATGAAAATAAAGAATAAGCAAGAATAAAAATATATGAAGAAAATGATGAAGATTACTATTTTGCATGGAATTATTAAATTATATATTTAATTAATGAGGAGTATATATACTGCCGTTTTTCTTGTGTATTATTTGTTCAAGATGTCTGCACAGTTGTTTCGGCAAGATGCATTGTGAGATTTAAGTGAGTATTTTGTTTTTAAAATCGAGAGAATAAAAAATGTTTTTTGCACATAAAAATGTGTTGGAAAAATTAACCAAGAATATTTTAGCCTTCATGCTCAGTTCTGGATATTCGTCTTTCATTGAAATCCAAAATTGTACAAGAGTATTAGATTTAAGTTTGGTATTTGTATTTTATCGGAAGAAAGCTAATGAGTGCTCCTTTTTCTTTAATAGTATGTAGTTTGTAATGCTCCCATTTTGTTCCAAATAACATTTTTCATATTTTGTACGGGTGACAAATTAAGATCATTAAGAAGAGAAATATCTTGCCAAATACAAGAGTTTAGCTATCCGAATGAAGATAGAATCTTACCTCTTACCGTTCTTACATACAGGGTTATCCAAGTCGTGATATGGCAGAAAAACTTTCGAAGAATGCATTTTGGGAAAAAATGTTTCAGACAAACTTGTAAGGATTTTTTCCTGGCTATCTGATGGTGACCTTGACCTTCAAGGTCATTTGAAGGTCAAGTTAAGTTTTTTAAATAGGAACCTCTATTTTTATAGCGGATTTGGAGAGAGCAGGAAATTTTTTGTTTAACTATGACCTTGACCAACTCCTTGGGTGGTGTGTATACCCGACCAATTAAGGCAAGGTAGCATGTAGTCCCGACCAATTAAGGCAAGGTGCACCTGCTCATTTTCGGTCGATAGAGAGAAACTACCTAGATGTAGTATTTAATAATCGTTGGATCGGTCGGAGAGGAACTATTGAGGGGACAGTTAGGTCCCCTAATCTGTGTTCACTAGATTTTCTTCTTTGGGGCTACATAAAAAAAGTGTACACTCCTAAACCACGAGATTTAGAAGATCTAAAACAAAAAATAGCCAGTGTTTGCGCCGATATTTGCGTCGGTCGATAGCCGCACAGTTTAAGGCATCAGTTCTTTAATCGTGTGCAAATTTCTGCCCGGTTTCGAATCCCGCGGCCGGTAGACCGTAGATTAGCTATGCTTGTACGGAGGATTGGCATCCTCTGTGCAGGTATGGTAGGGTGGAAGAATGTTGGCTTGGGTCAATTATTGACACTGGTTGGCATTTGACCACCCCCTAATTAATGAGGTTTTCCAGGTTTCCCTCATTCCTGCACTGAATGGTGGTTAGAGCCTACCAACATAAGTCGTTCCTGGGCGCAAATGCGGCCTGCTTAATAATAATATGCTGCCTCCTCTCCCGCACAAGTCTCCGACTTCTGGGCTAATTCTCGTAGTTAGAATGAGGAGTAGAGATATTATTATTATTATTATTATATTTCACTTGATATGATAAGAAGTGTGATTGAAAGTTCTTATGTCCATCTAGGAATTTGCCATTATGTTGATAGAGAACATTTTGAGCACAGGCTGTAAGCCTGGTCTTAACTGGCCGAGATTGTTAGCCATTCCTTAATTGTCCGGGATCGCTAGCTACTCTATTTTTAAAATTCTTGAAAAAATCTTTTTAAAATGACCTTCAAATACTGGTTCAAGGTCAAGAGCTTGATTATGGTCATATTGGTACATTTGTTTTTCTTTTCTTCCTAACTTATCAAAAAATAATAGTTAATGGAAACAAATTAACCTGACTGACATGATCTTGGGGGTATTTTTCAGTCATAGTCAAGGTCGTACTCGAAGGTTAAATTTCAACTCTTTCCAAATCCGTGATAAAAAATAGGGGTTACTAATGAAGAAACAACTATGACCTTGGAATGACCTTGAAGGTCATTATCAGTCATGGTCAAAACCATATTTGGACGTAAAATTTCCTGCTCTTTCCAAATCGGCAATAAAAAATAGGGGTTCCCATTTAAAAAACTTAACCTTCAAATTACCTTGAAGGTCAAATCCAAGTTCACCATTAGATAGCCAGGGAAAATCCTTACGTTTGTCTGAAACATTTTTTCCCAAAATGCATTCTTCGAGTTTTTCTGCCGTACCGGGACTTTTGCATAACCCTGTATATATGAAGATTATATCACACAACATTACAAAAAGGCAAACATATAGAGGTTGAAAAAAAATTACTTAATAAGTTTCTTTTGATCTAGTTCTGGTGAAAGCTTTCTTGCAGTTAAACATTCATATTTGATCATATTCGATAAACCATTTAACCCTATATCAGCTCCAGGATAATGAAAAAAATTATTTTAATAAAACTGAAAAAATACAGTTATAACATGCAGGCAAAAATGTTTGACGGTACAAGTCCGGAAGTGGGTTGGGAAACAATGATTCAAGTGGTACAATAGAGCGAAAAGAAAAAAAAATTGATCTCTTATATTTATTTGTTCAACACTGCTCCTAATCGTTACATAGCTATAAAAAATACTGGCAATTAGTGGAAATTTAAACTATATAATTGGAAAAATAAATAATATATACAAAAAGACCTACACACTACCTACTTATGGGGAATAATAGATGAGCTTAAATCGTTCACGAGGAAGTTGTAAACGAAGTTCGATTTGCCCCGGCTGGCTTGAGGTCTGGAATTGCGGATCTGATCTCTGAGGAGAATATCTCCAAATAGTGAAGCTAGAGTCTTGGCATCATAACCGTTGTCGTTGGAGTACTTCAGCAATTCTTGCAAGAACATGCATATGTATAGAAACACGTTGCGGTGCAGGTCATTTACTTTTTGCAAAATCAACTAGAAAATTATCAAAAAAAACATATTTTGTTTTGCAAAATCCCCCTTCTGATAATCGCTTACCTGTCTGCAGTTCTGGAAATTACTGGCGGCTGCTATACAAACATCGTGCAACTCGAACGGAATTACGGGGTCTTTGGTGAAAGACAGGAACAAGAGCAGGCTCTCTGCCACTGCGTGAATTGTTCCAGCTATGATTGTAATGTAAGGAAATAATAATGTTTGTTTTTGAAATAGCTACACTTGGCTAGAAAACCTATATGGGAACGTGCGACTTATAATTATTTTAAGATTTTAAGAAAGGATACGTAAGTTATCTAAAGAACCAAAATCTAACCAATCTCTGACTCGGATCATTTCTTCATGCAAGGCTGTAGAATCGAATAACTCTCTAGTCTTCAAACCGTGTCTGTATAAATGATCGACTAGCAGCCACAGTTCGCGAGGTACAGAATATAACACTGGTGATTCATTGTTTTCCTAAAATGTAAAAAAAATGGTACTGTTAATATCAATAATGATAATTAAGGTCCATATATATCATACATGATATAAAAAAATCAAGGATGAATGAAGGAAGCTGTGCTAATTTGTAAGTAAAGAAATAATAAATCATGTATCACCTATAATTGGTGATATTGTACTCGTATATTAAATTATAGAAACAATACTGCACTGAATAGAATGCACTGCACACCAATTATTCGTGGAATGAAAAAAAATTAATAGTAACTGTTTTACATACATATTGATAAATTTAATTTTGATTCATGTTTATATGATGAAAACAAACGGTCAGCATTGGAAAAGGTAACTGCGGCATACTTGAAATTTATGGCAGATTAGTAGGTGTTGTTTTTTTAAAAATAGGTTACAAATAAGCGGTACAGTAAAACATCAGTTATCCGAATCTGGATTATACGGGGTCAAGATTATCCAAATCTATCCTTGACATGATTATTAACCTCAAATTTTGGAACTTTACACTATCTAAGGTGGTGTTACATATTTGCATTATAAAAAATAAGCAGAAAAGTATTGTTATACCTATTGAAGAAAAATTAAAAGTGGATACGATATGAAAAGGTACGGAATGGCCATTTCTTTAATGCTTTATTGTTAAATGTACGCGGAGCGCACCTCTTTGTCGTGGGTATATGCCAGCATAACTGCTGAATCGTTCGTCGGTTGTCTCACCTATGACACAATGATGAGGACTAATAAGTCCTAAACCGGTCCGTGCCTGAGGGTAAACTGACGAACGATCCTAGCTGTTGCAGTAGGTGTTGCGAGTATAATTCAATGCCGGTTGGGACATTATTTTTTGACTTTGACAGTCAATTACTTGGGAAATAATGGTCGTACAGAAAATCCAAGCAGGGTTTTGAAAACTTCAAAGTATTCCCTACAAGTCGTAATTATTGGGTTTTGATAAAAAAATTTTTTTTCGAACTGAAAATGGTTAGAAAAAAGCGATAATTAGGGATATTTGAATAACTTGGCATAACTTTGCAAATTTTTTTAATAGTTTCAAAACGCTGCGATTTTTTTTCTTAGTGCTCGGAATGTTTAAATTTGTGGTTTCGCTGAAAATCAACGGTAATATGTAATTTTTTACTTTTTATTCATTTTTTTATGTTAAAAATGTTTAATCCATATTTTCTTAGGGGGCATATATAATTTAATAATTATAGCATCTAATCATTCCTCGTACGCTTTGGCCGTGTTCTTTTATTCATCATTTCGATGGGATGAATTTTGTAGAGCCAATAAGAGATTGGAATTTTTTAAACAGACCAATAGTAATACATCGATGGAATTCATCACATTAAAACGAAGAATAAAAGAACACGGCCTTTATTCATCTTCGATGATTCTGCCTGTCAAGTAAAATTGTTCCGAGGAGTGCATGGTTAAAAACTGAAATATTTGCACATTGGTTTTCATCTATACACCTAAGTTTTCTAATAATTTTTCTGACAATAATTTTACACAATGGGCAAAATCGACAAGCATGTGGCCTCTTATGTGCGTATACAGGGTGTGCCATTTAACATTCCCGCTGCCAATATCTCCGAAATGAAGAAATTTATTTTAGTTCCGGAAACTGGGGTTGTTAGGTCTCTCGAATAGCTTCAAATTGTAGTTAGAACTGTTACTTCAAATCTTTCTGTATAGATGGCGTGGCGATACTAAAAAATTTTTTTATCCCTGGAACGTGGAAATGCAGTCCATCTGAAAGATCGTTAAATTTTGAGTAATCTTTGTAATATAAAGTTTTTCCCTATATTTACTTGTTTTCGAGATATGTCGACTTCAATATGCACTCTATGATATAACATGAAAATCTATTATTTTATTTAAATCACACCGAGACAAAATATTCTTTAAAATATTGTTATAATGACTTTATTCACACCCCATACTAACTAACAAACATTAATTATAAAAAAAAACAAATGATCAATTAGAGAAAAAAAATTGTACAATGGTAAATCGTATAACTAAATATAGTTAAATTGAAAGACACAAACTGATAAACTGTAATGATTGGAAAAGTAATATGTGTCCTCTGTCATTGTTTTATTTTAAACAAATGACATGAGCCACCTATGACTGCATTTTTTAATAACATTTGATAAAATGCGGTTCGTCTCTGACCCTTATAAGATTTACCATTGTACAATTTTTTTTCTGTAGTTGATCATTCGTTTTTTTTATAATTTATTGTTTGTTAGTTAGTATATCAGTGAATAAAGCCGTTATAACAATATTTTAAAAGAATATTTTGACTCAAGTGTGATTTAAATAAAATAATATATTTTTATGGTATATCATTCATTACATATTGAAGTCGACATATTTCGAAAACAAGTAAAAATAGGGAAAAACTTTATATTACAAAAATTACTCAAAATTTAACGATCTTTCAGATGGACTATATTTCCCCGTTCCAGGGAACAAAATTTTTTTATTATCGCCACGCCATCTATACAGAAGGATTTGACCTAACAATTCTAACTCCAATTTGAAGCTATTCGAGGGACCTAACAACCCCAATTTCCGAAACTAAAATAAATTTCTTCATTTCGGAGATATTGGCAGCGGGAGTGTTAAATGGCACACCCTGTATATGTGTGTCTATTTTGTTAAAATATACGTACATATATGTATACATATTTCTTCTGTTTAGAATTAAAAAGTAAATTAAAAAAGTATGTATGAGTTTTCAATTAACTGAATTAAGAATCAGCTACATTATCTTGGATAATCGAGATTTTATTGTGCACGATAAATTTACAGGGTGATTCACCACCCAAAGAAATTTGGGAATAGACGCGTCATGAATAATGGAGTCAATATCATAGAAGAAATTTTTGGTTCCAAGAAAAAAATTATTGAAGTTCTAGTATTTTCAACACTTACATCGCTGGGCTACTGTTATCTCTAGCGTCATTCGCATTGTGCGCAATGCGATCTCTCTCCACATGGCCCCAAATGATTCCGAATACTGAAATCCGATTTTAGTACTAACGTTTTTGCGATAGCTTTTACATTAATTTTTCAAGTGTCAAAAACAGTTTACGTGTATAGCAACTCGGAGTTGATGGATATCGTTTTAATTTATGATGAAGCAAGACAACATTTGTGTTAGTTCGTAGAAACTGGGTAAATAAAGTTCCAATAGCACTAATTTCAGTCTTTACATTTAATAACCACAGAAATACTTTTTTTAAATAAATTAGTCCAAAATAGCAGGTAGTAACTTATTCTCAACATGTAGACTGCGCCATGGATAGGATGTTCAGGTGAGTTGGGAGTATCATTTTTGAGAGTACACAATACATACAACAAACTTGGATGTGTTGTGTTATTCATACTACGTATGTATGACTTATGTGTGGATGTTAGTGATAATACATACCGCCATTTTCCACTGCTCGTCGGACAGCTGCATAACAGGTACAGGAATGCGGCACAATGCAGATATTGAGCTGGTAAAGCAAGACTTTTGGCATTCACCGCTAACAATTATAAACATATCCTTGCCACCCTTCAAGTGCAACACTAAGATATCGTAGATTTTCTCCAGGCTTGATTCGAGAGTCACCTCTAGCTTTACATCACACTTTTCACCTAGAAATAACAAGATAAAATAACACTTGTTAATTTTTTTCAATAATTATTGTCTGCCTTACCCGGATTAATACTACCGCAGTATGGAATGATACGCAACCAATCTTTGCAGTAGTTGGCCTCGTCCAATTTTTTTATGAACTCAAACTCTGCCGGAACCTACAATATATGCAGGAAATTATGTAAGAAGTATCAAAACCACTGAAAATTTAGACTCACCACTCCAGTGTTGGCGATGATGATTTCTTTAGACTGCACCTCCCTGAATTTGATCACATCATATACAACCTCCGTCTGATCAATGGTCACCTGCGGCAAAAATTCATTCTCGTGCTTGTCCATCTTCTTCAATAAATCCTCGTGGATCCTCCTGAACTTGATCGGGTCCACCACGCTGATTTCTGACTTGAACAAGGCACTAACTGGCTTGTGATCACTGATTTTCAGGTCCATATGACTACGGTATTCCGCCTGGTATATCCCTTAAGAAAGACGATTTTTTTTTCACATAAATTGTTATGTAATAATAAATAAATACCTTTGCCTCTCCAGAGAATCCTATCTGTCCATGCTGGAGGCCTTGCCTTTTCACTGGTATCGTATATGTCTGTGTTCAAGTCGTATTTGTAGGTAGGTTGGAATTTTATATCACCTTCTACATAGTCCTGGTGTAAAGAACATTGCTTTTAATAACAATAAGCTACTACATCCCTGCTCATTTAATCAAACCACAAATAAGCTATGATTGTGTTTAGATGAGTCATTTCAGTAAATTTTTTAAGGCTTAACTACTGTATCACAACTGAGCTTACTACGCAGGGAAACCACTGATAACATTTTTATTGTTTATTAAAAAATTACATAATATAATAAATGACATTCCATAAACAGGAAATACAATATTTCTATATTTTAAAATTTAATAACAAAAAAAAAAATCAAAACGGATTGTACTACATTTATAAAAACTCTTGAATATAGGTATACAGGGTATATCTTTAATTTGGGAGCAAATTTTTTACGGATAATAATAGTACATATACAAATCAAATATGTAGATGAGTTTTACACTTAAACTTTTGTCTCTTCTGAACTCGGTTGTATATATTAGTCCAAGCATTCTGTCACAGATTAATGTTAAGTTTGCAGAAATTATTACCTGGACAAAAAAAATATGACCGTATAGAAAATTAAATTTTAAATTGAGTTTCTTGTTCTTTAAACTCGATCCAAAATGGCGAACATGGTTAAAAAAAAATCGCAAAGTTGCAAAAATCAGTTTTTCTAAAATAACTAAAAAATATATAGCACGGATTGAAAAATTTTAAATGAAAAAGTTGTAGGTTTTAAAAAGATCTATCGGCTGATTTTTTGAAAGTATCGATTGCTTTTCAAGATATATCGAAAAACCGTTAAAAATCTTCTCTTTTCTCTTCTTCTATAACTCGTTTACATTTAGGTGCCCATATTTGCTATTTACTGCAAGCATAGCCCGCGGCAAGCCAAAAAAGTATATTTTTGAAAAATTTAAAAATATTGATATTTTTCGATATATCGATTTTTTGAAAAAAAGGCGCTGTTGAAAATTGGCTAGATCTTCTTAGCGGATAGCCCTACAGTAACGATTTTTGGTTTATTTTCTTCGTAAAGAGTTATATTATCATGCCGCTAAAAAATGTTGACAATTTTATTAATTTTAAGGATCAAAAAATGACTTGTTGAAGTGTATCTGAACATAAACATTCCTTATTTTTTTAAAAATATATTATATAAGTTTATTATAAATGCATGGTTTCAATCATTCAATGTGCCAACTTAAATTTCTAGTCACACTGAGATGGCATGTTTTTACTTAAAGATCTGAGTTAGCATATTTTCCAAATTTAATTTGAGATAGCATGTTTTCCAACCGAAATCTGAGATAGCATGTTTTTGTACTAAAGCATCGATATTATGTAGTCTGACTCTGTAATCCGAACTATATACGTTAAACCGAACTTTGTTCGAATTAAAGAGTTTTGCTTGGACCATCGACACGGGCATTCATTGGGCCGGATTAGTGGATATTCTGATTAAGGTGAGTTCGGGTTAGAGTCTATACCAGGGGTCGGCAACTGGCGGACCGCGGTCCAGGTCCGGACCGCGGAAGGTAAAATTATGGACCGCTAAAAATTTTTTTAAAGTATAAAATTATTTAAATAAATTATTTAAAAAATGTTTTTTTACGTTTGAGTGTCAACCTTATAATTTTTTCTAGTATTTTACAATTGTGTGAGTGTTTTGAGTTCTTAATGGTTAGTAAGCAGATTAAATTTGAGTCCAAATTAAAATAAAAAATTTTTAAGAAATATGAATTTTTTTTTCTGGACCTCGTTAAAAATTTTCAAAAGTATCCGGACCCCACCTAAAATTACTTGCTGACCCCTGGTCTATACTGTACTGGTATTCGGAAAGGCACACATAACTAACTGCAAGTGAAATTAACTTTTAAAATAATTATTTTTGCTGCTTTACAAAATGCACATAAAAAAAGAAATAAAAATATTTACAAGTTAATATACAGGGTATCCCAGAATAATGCATACAAGGGAAGACCACAGATTCGTGGACTCAAACTAGGCTAATTTACCTATATCCGAAATGCTTTGTTTGGCTGCTAGGATGGCCTCAAAGTTCGTGAAAATTTTTTGAATTTTATATTATATTTAATTATTTTTGGGCTGTGAACCTTTGTCTTCGATCGAGTGTTTTTTAAAACTTACAACTCCTACAAAGTTGATGTGTGGTGATAATATCCGTTCATAACTTTCGTCTTTCGGGCAATAATGAGAACTATTTTTAATTTGATGGTTTTTACTAATAATCTCAATAAAATTAGACACATTGTAAATAACTCTAATTCGTCGTATGTGTGTGTATCCATATTGAAGTAACATGTGGTATATTTTAACATCATAAACACTCATTAAGAATTGTCAGGCACAATGACTTAAAGATCAAACTGAAATAAACCTACAAAATCAGTGGCTACTAGCACTTTGTTAAGTATTATAATATGGGTGGAACGTGATGTAGACATTTAAAAAATATTTGTTGTACCCAAACCGCTCATTTAATCAAAATTCTACAAGGAGCCCAAAAACTTCCAAATAGTTTCACCTATTAGATAAAAAATAGTTGTCATTACTGCCCGAAAGAGGAAAAAGTTATGAATGGATATTATCACCATACATCAATTTTGTAGCAGTTGTAGATTTTAAAAAACACTCTGTATAACACCAAAATGTGTAGATTGAAAGCAAAAGTCCACATCCTGAAAATAATCAAAATCGATTAATAGGTACTGGAGTTATTTACATAATTAAAAAAAAAATTACCAACTTTGGGGCCATCTAGCGGCCAAACTAAGTGATGATTTCAGATATAGGTGAATTCGCCTAGATCTGTCTATCAAAACTCCAAAATAAAAATCTTATTTTCTCTTACCAAAAGCACATTTCCACGCTCCTTCTGCTGATTGAGCTGATCTGCCTTCAATAGAGTCGTTATCTCTTGCCTTGACAAAAGCGTTTTTACCTGAGTTGTAGTAAGATCTGTTATTCTATAATTAAGATCTCCTAACCAGTACACCTGGCTGAAAAAGATCAAAGCAATATGAAAATGTTACAGAAACTTCAACTGGAATTTTTAATATGGTACTCACTCGTGATCTTTTATTGCTTGTGGATTCTTCTTGAAGTTCATCCTTGCGTTGATGTCTTTATAGTCCTGGTTTCTCCTTTCATACTCCTCAACGTGCGCTGCTAAATGACAGTTAACGAAGCACAGCGATGTGTTATGTAGTTCTAACCTAACAGCTACCCCTCCTTTGTTTCCCTAAAAATTATTAAAGAAGTCGCTCTTTGTTCAGAAATGCTTGTCACGTAACCTATAAGAATCGATAACAAATATTTATTTATTTACGAGCCACAGGCGATTTTATTAATATTACAGTCAATCAGTAAGTGGTTGCAAATACAAAAGGGAACAAGTATGACGGAAAAAATTATATTGGGAACAGAATGCAATGAAAAAACGAAATAAAAAAATTTCATAAAAACAACTCATAACTGACATACAATTTCTGTCACACCAACTTGATACATTATCATTATGCTCAATTTGATCACAATCGGAGGTGTTATAATTGAGAATCATTTCAAATTGTATGCAAACAAAAATTTATAATAGAACTCAAATATTATTTAGAAAGGTTTTACTTGCAATTGTATTGTATACTAAATAATTGCCAAAGCTAATCGTCAGCTCATGTCTCCTGAAAATATAATTTTTTATCCAATCCAGACATAAACCATAAACCCCAAGCACATAAAATTTGTGGATAAAAATATGACTTACTCAATCAAAGGCTCGAGAGGAATATTTGAGATCGATTTCATTAATAAACTGAATATCTTCGTGCATAATGATATAAGCATAACACATAATATAGCAGACACTTCATTATAGTAAAAACCTACCATTTTTCCTAACAATCCAGTCCCGACAGTGTCAAGAGAAACATTTTTAACAAACTGATAATGCTGACTGTTAACCATGACTGCGAGTTGTATGCCGACAAGTCTCGCTAAAGCTACCAAGCGGTATTTTGCTTTTGGGTGTACTCCCTCCATCACAAATTTCCTGTAAATATAGAAACATATGGTATGCAATATTTTTTATGACAGAAAATTGCTCACTGCCATTCAGCCTCACGTGGGGTGTCATTAAAAAGAAAAGCTTCTTTACTAAGGTCGATTTCCTGAAAACCTATTGCATACAAATCCGGAGGTTTGTCATCAAAACTCAGCCAGGGCTTTAATGACACTGAAGGAGCTTGTCCATTGACGTTCCATGTCCCAACAAAAATACTGAAATATGTATTTCATTATATAACTCACTTACATAACAGAACTTCTTTAAAAATAAAATATTTTTTCTTACGTGAACTCTTGTTTTTGTGTGTATTCTGGTTCCTTCAATTTCAACTGATATTTTAGCATAGATTCACGGTTTATAGCTGTCTGTCCCTGAGGGATTCGTTGTCTTATTATTGGTGTATCCGACTAAAATACTGACATGTTACAAGACGAAATATTAGAAGTTTTACATACTTGTTCTCCCAAATCAGAATTTCTGTTTGATTGTATCATCGTGCCCATATACTTGTCAAGCCATACAAACACAGGCTGATTATACAAAGAAACTAGAAATATATACTCATTATATTTATTGTATGATATATAGATTACACACTGTACCTTCTTTCGAACGTATAACTTCAGAAGCGAAATTGGAACTCTCTAATCCTATTTCAATTTTGAACTGCAGCTTGAGTTTTTTGTAAGATATAATAAAAATGATATGGCTTTGGCTGTTACCTATTGGTTCTGTGTCTAGAAAAGAAGTAGACAGAAGTACAATTAAGTACGTTAAGTATAAACATGCCTTACCACAAGAAAAATATTGATCTATTGGGAAAACTGTTTCTATAGAGAGGTCTGAAATACTGACAGGTTTTTTTCTAGCTGAAATTAATACAAATAAAGCGAAGGTTCTATTGTATTCTACCAAAGCCAAAATCCTATTTTCTTCATTGTTAGTCCCATCCAAAGTAAACACGTTTAAGTGTATCTAAATTCTAATAAGGAAAACATAAAAAAATAAATACTTCAGTTCCTATGTCAGAGAAGGATACACTTTTTACTATCTCTGCAGACAAAAACTTTGCCTGCACGATATTAAGAACATCCTGATGAACAGCTAACATAATAATATGTTTACGCACCCGGAATCAGTTCATTTTGACTATTTTTCGAATTTTTTTTGAACAAAATGTTAAAATGATATTGCCAATTTGACAACAACACCTAACCTAATAGATGGCACAGGAGAGTTAATCTTACAACATCAAAATCCCTACATTTAAAATTAAATCACAAAATTTGGATAAGATTAAATTATTCTGATTAAAATACGACCTTGGCTTTGTATTCATGAAAGATTCAAATAAACATAATTTTGGACTTTGGACTTTTAGGTTGATAAATATTTAATATTTTGCAGTTGGTATTTCCGTAAATGTTTGAATAGCGTCCTCTATGCGAAATCTAGTGTGCGGCAACAATAAAATTAAATTCAAATGTCCCAGGTTATAAATTAGAATTTTAACGTAGAATTTCGTAAGAAAACTGCAAATATGAACGACTGGATACATTGTAACAAGTGTTCAATTAAGCCTCATTCCAATGTTAAACTTTTTATAACTGAATGTGGCCACTTATTTTGCCAAAGGTGTACTGAAAATCTAAGTAAGTACTTATACCTGCCCATGCCATTATTGTCCTTTTTGGAACGTTTATTACAAACTCTTAATTTTCCTTGTAGAGGATTCAAAATGTGTTATATGCAACAAATCTGTTAAAATCATACCAATTTCCAACGATATGGATGCTTCAATTCAAAGGTTCTTCATTCCCATTGAAACACATCTAAACAAAATCTTGGAGGTAATAAATATGTTCTGGGAATCTACGTGCTCTAAACTACTAACTAATTTTATAGGTGTATAATTTCCAAATGCAACACCGAGGAAGACTAGTCCAAACAACACTCCAAAAATATAACTATGCTAAAAAGGAGTGCATATCAGCATTCAACAAATACAGAGAAGTGACAAGAGAGAACAAGACATTGAAGTCAACGTTAATGGTAAGAATACAAGTTATAATCATTGGTTTAAATTTAAATAATCGTTTTGTTCTAGTCTAGAGGAAAATTTGGTAATCCTCATCCATTCACCAGCACTCCTTTTGTTAATGCATCTCAAGCTGATACTATGTCAATATCTTCTGTTGGTTTTACCCCTAACGTTTGCGAAAGAATGCATCCAGCTTTGGCTTCAGGACCTGGTATCGCAAAAAGAATCCCATCCAGGGATAGCAATTTTATGGGGCCTTATCTTCCTCCGGTAAGTGTTTGCATGTTCTTGACTTTCCTTTAAATTTTGTTTGCGGTATGTAGGTGAGAAGATATTAGCCATCGTAATGTGAAAAAGGCAATAGATGGTAATATTAAATTTTTATATACAGGGTGTTCTGAAAGTCTGTCAGAAAACTCCGGAAACTCCTCATCTTATTTTTCCACAATACTATTACAGAGCCGAAAATAAAATTATGGTGAAAAATCAAACTTATACCTGCTTTAAACAATTTTTACTACAATTCGTAACATCAAAATTATTAATGACATTTAGTTGAAGCATGGCAACTTTATTAATTACAAAAATTTGATGCTATTGTTACTTAGCAAATTCCTGCTAAAGAATTGCATTTATCGGCTTGAATAAAGAGTCCATAATTTTGTCTTATATTGTTTCTCTTTTCAATAATGTTTACATTTTTGTGATGTCTAGCAAGACAAAAAATTTATGAGCAAAACAAATTTTGATTTCTAGGTAAAGCGCCCTCTAGCGGCGCTTAATGAAACTTTTCTCTGGCTGGTCCGATAGAGCCTCATCTACTTATTAGTGGGTATGCCAAATGAGAAACTAATAATCGAGTTTGAATTAAATAAGTTATTTAAAAGAGAAATAGAAAAAATTTAACATTGATAATATTAATAAAATGTTCATTACATACTGCTATTATTTTAATCTGTAGAATCACCTCCGAGAGTTTCCTGATGGACTTTCAGAACACCCTGTGTAGTAGGTCCTATAAGTATTTTTACTTTTTAGCTATATGTTTCTTTTATAGGTATCCATTATACTAACGCTTATTATATTATGTTATTTGATATCAAATACAGGGTGTCAAATATGAATAAGTACTTTGCCCCCTCAAATTCATACATCCTGTATAAAGAATAACATTAAATAAGTTTATTAAACAGATATTATCAAAATTAAAAGAAAAATAAATATATCGTTATTAAATTATGGCATACAAAAACACACATCTATTATATTTTTAATGAATCATATGTTCAGAGAGATTCCATTCATTTTTCTCCTTCCTATGATTTTTTAAATTTCTGAAATCATCCCTTAATTTCTAGTCTCCCTAACTCTTTTAATTTTAATAGTACAAGAAAAAGTCAATAGACCATGCATTTAATGTACAATTCTATGTTCTACATCTTTTATACTTTTATACTAGAAACTTTTTTTCTAGCTCTTATCCCTGGCCCTGGCCGGGGGTTGAAAAAAATTACTGTCATTTTTATTAGATACTTAGTCTTACCTCAAACTGACTTATATAAAAAATTCAGGCAAGTTCACTAAAATTGTGATTTAAAAGCCCGTTTAATTGGATTATAAATACATTTGACATCTTGAGATATTTATGTGTAGTCTTTATTTATTTTGGAATTAATATTCGAATGACTCAAAATTCTGTTAATGTGTTAAAACTTATAAATTTTAATATGCCATCTACAGGCTAATTGGTGAAATACAATATTATTAGAGACAAGATAGCGCTCACGTTTTATAATTCCGTAATTAATTAATAGATGACCCCCCTATAACCTCCTGGACAAAATCCATTGCCAACTTATTAAAATTATTTGCATTAGGTATTTTTGAAAATGATGACTGCAATTTTTAAAATTTATGTTTCTTACAATTGTCTGTGTTACTTTGAGAAAACTGTAATAATACCTAAATAATTTTCTTAGTAATTATGTGAATTCAAAAACTGTTTTTTTTTGTTAAAGTTTTCTAGAGAATTTTTGGATCTAGAAAATAATTGTATGATAATTTCGAAGTGATTATCAAAATACGAAATAGAAGATAAGCTGTTCAGCAAATATGCTAACGTTCCGTAATATTATTTTCGATGGTTCTGACTTCCAACGCATATTTTACACACATACACACTATTGTTGCGGCGAAACCGACAACGAATTATTTACCTGTTGGCGTACTAATTTACTTGCCGCCGCACAGAGTGCTAGTCTAAATGATTTCGTTAAACAGAATCAGCAACATGAAATCGCAATTAAGCAACTTGTTTGTTATTAAAATTATCATGTGGTTTCCACTACTTCGTCGTAGTTCGCCGCCGCCGTTGAAGTGCCGCGACTGGAAATAGTAGAAACCCGTGTAAATATGATATTTGTGGATGTACTGGTATGGTACACACTGCTCTGTTAGAAAGCGCATAGCTTGCGCCTACCAGTGGGCGCGTCTTTGTTTATTTTAATTATGTGAATATTTCAGCAAAAAATTATCCATATTTGATTAACGAGTTGGTTTATTGCGAACCTTATTTGTTTGCAAGGAATCTCGCGTTTTCGTTGCGGAATGTTAACTTTCAGCACAGTGGCGGAACTCCGATATTTATAGGTTCCCAGCAGAATTCCATTCGGACCCCTTCGACAACCTCCAGTCGAGTCCCAAAAAAATGCAATATTTCTAAATTCTTTCGAATTTTTAATTTTGCAAGTATAAATTGCATTTCTAAAAAAAATACATGCAGGGTGTAATTTTGAGTGCGAGTCATATTTATAGAGGCTTCCTTTGACCTTTGGAAACATGTATCAATAGTTTATTTTGTCAAATTCCGTCGTAATAACTATTTTTTAACCTTTTTTTTTAGTAATTTTCGTACCCCGCCGCTGGACAAGCTAGTGTAACCTCAAATAAAGCCACGCCACACCACTCGCCGCGAAAGCGAGTGGGTGCTCGCCACACAAACCACGCGCCATTATTCTATGGCTAGAAATTGGCCTCAATGATTTGGGATCGAGGGGGATTATCCCTCTTTATCCTGCCTCATCTCGTGTAGGCCTGGACAGCCTTCGTAGGTGGGCCCCATCCGTCGTCTACCCCGACCGCAAATGCGGCCGGTGTAGGCGCTTTGTGGGACCTCCTTTTGTCCTGGCTGGGCCCCGCCGGCTAGGGCCCTTTCTTCTGGCGCTCTTCTTGCTTCGCCGGCTCGTCTGTGTAAACCCCGGGGGTAGTGTCATGTTTATG